ATATATATGTGTGTGTGTGTGTGTGTGTGTGTGTGTGTGTGTGTGTGTGTGTATACCCAGTGGTCATACAATACGCTTACTTCAGAGGCTGAAGTTTCATGGATGAAACTCGGAATGGGTTCGCCCGTCTTTTTGAGTCTTTGAACCAGCTGACGCTTGCTCCGAGATATTTTCTGCAGGTCGTAACCATTGTTACAAGAAGGTGAATAGATATAAGTTAGTACTGATACTATCCTCTGCTATCTACATTATTAGAAGTGATTACACAAAGCATGTATGCACACATGTCAACCAGATTCACATACGCATGCACCTACATCTATACACAAAGAGAGCATCAATACCATGTGCAACATATCACGTGGGCGGTATCACGTGATCTGGCGGCTATTCCATTCGCAACCATCATCTCGTGCTACGTATCATTGCGACTGTGTAGTCCCTCACTCACTGCTTATACTGCTAGCGACATGGCACATACATGTCCGTGTGTAACTATCAACGCACGACGGTCTGTCGCTCATAGATCATCCGTAAAGCTACTTGTGCATGTATACACACGTCTGGTCTCGCAAGTGTGTGCGGATCTCCATGCAACGCTATAGGTGTATAGTGGTTGTGTGTTTAATGGTTGTGTGCTTAGTAGTTGTGGTACCTACCCTTGCGGACGCTTCTAACGCTTTCATCTCCTCGTGCATTGCTGTGTTAATGAACAGCATCATGCGCACTGTCTTCTTCAGATACCTGGACGGTTTTGTTCATGAAAACGTTAAGTGGTGGTGGGTGTGTTGGCTCACACAAGTCAAGACCATTATTTACGTGAAGCCACGGTGTTTGCGTGCACACTTTATGGTCTCCCAAACATGCGCAAAGGAATCGAAAACACCTATCATATATGCACATGTTGACAGATACATACATATATCATACATGCATCTATCGTCCACGCATGCATGCATGTGCTATTGGTGTGATGTCTTATATACATATACTATCCATGCGTCTATCGTCCATGCATGCATGCATGTACTATCGCTGTGATGTCTCGTGAGCATGTATGCATGTACTATAGATGTGATGTCACATATACATATACCATCCATGCATCTATCGTCCATGCATGTATGCATGTACTATTGCTGTGGTGTCTCGTGAGCATGCATGCAAGTACAATTGCTGTGATGTCTTATTTACATATACCATCCATGCATCTATCGTCCAGGCATACATGCATGTACTATTGCTGTGATGTCTCGTGAGCATGTATGCATGTACTATTGATGTGATGATATACCATCCATGCATCTATCGCCCATGCATACATGCATGTACTATTGTTGTGATGTCATATATACATATACCATCCATGCATCTATCGTCCATGCATGCATACATGTACTATTGCTGTGATGTCTCGTCAGCATGCATGCATGTACTAATGCTGTGATGTCTCGTGAGCATGCATGCATGTACTATTGCTGTGATGTCCTATATACATATAATATCCAAGCATCTATCATCCAAGCATCTATCGTCCATGCATGCATGCATGAACTATTGCTGTGATGTCTCGTGAGCATGCATGCATCTACTGTTGGTGTGATGTCGTGTATACATAAACCATCCATGCATCTATCGTCCATGCATGCATGCATATACTATTGATGTGATGTCCCGTGAGCATGCTCGTGATACCTTAGTTTGCGTTCGTTAGACGCTCTCTTCCTGTGCCGTTCTAGTCGCACCTTCTCTGCTCGTTGTGCCTTGCGCTGTACCATCAACGCCTGCGATTGCCATATATGGGTAAGTACAGGAACATGTCCAAATTAGGAGCTGTATACCATAAACGGCATCTGCCCTGCGCGGGAATATCTTTGTTGTGCTACTGTGTGGTGTGTAACGTGTGGCCAAGACTAATGTCTATGTACATGCGTATAAACTGGCCTACACGCTATCGTGCGCACATACACACACACTGCACTTGGACAATACATAAGGTATTCTACCGATTGACACACACTCTAGTAACTCTTCAAGTGCGAGTATATAAACGTCAATTCCCATTCCACAGCAGCCAGTATGTGGCATCCACTTCGCGTCCGAGAATGACAAGTGTGTGACTCTAGCCGTAGCTGAGTACATTCGCCAGGTCATACTACATATCACCTGGATTGATATTAGTCACTTGGCTGATACAGTGCAGATCATCTGGATTAATATTGGTCACATGGGTACACGAAGAAACACACCAAAAGGTATAGACGTATATATGTACATGAATAAACACACCAACACGCATAGATGTACGTTCATGGACACTCCTGAGAATGCCATGGATGCTCGCACACGTGCGCATCCACACCCGTCCTTGTACACAGAGAATGCGACAGATCTGCGTATACACATGCATACACCCACCTTATCCTCCTTAGAAGCCAAGGCGAAAAAACCCGGTTGACCGTCCACTTTGTTGAAGCGGTCGCTGCCCCTCTGCGCCTCTCGATAGATAAGTGCGTCCAGGCTTTTCTTCTTGGACGGGTCTATGAGCTCTCGTTCCGTGCACCTCGTTTGTATCACTTTGATGTGCAAGCCCTCAGGGCCCTGAATGCACAGGTAGGGTGTGGGTGAGGTGAAGGGGAGTGTGTGTGAATGAAGCGTATATGAGGTGATGGAGAGTGTGTGTGACTGAAGCGTATGTGAGGTGATGGGAAGTGTATGTGAGTGAAGCGTATATATGAGGTGATGGTGAGTGTATGTGAGT